AGATCGAGTTCTAGGTAACTTTTTTCGAACTGGTTGGTTCGACTTTTAAGAATTTTTAGTTATAATGAGTTTGAAAAATGAGGTACCACTGTATGTGCTTATTTCTATAGTTTAAACCCTAAATATGCTCCCAAAACACTTTAATTTCATTTAAAAGTTAGCTTAATACATTACCTTTAAAAAAAAAAAGTTTGATGTAAAAATAGAGTACAGTATCGCCTAACGAATATTTGTCACACTAGCACATTTACAGTGCAGTATACTAATGTTACCCCTAATAATTCATAGAACACGGCATTGGCTGCCGTCTTCTTTTGCATTCACAGTGAGGTAAAATGAGTAAACGAACGGGACTGTAAACTTATTGACAAAAGCCATATACGTAACCAAGGTGCAATTCAATAAAATAAGTAAAGGAAACGTACATGTTCTTGCGGATCTGTGAATTCGTGAATCACGAAGGGCGAATGCATGAGGGTTGACTGTATTGCAAAGTGATTTTTCTCGTGATAAATATTTCAATATTTATAAAGCAAAATGGAGCAGAACCAAAATAACCTGAAGCCAAACAGAACTTATTATCTACCGGTAGATTCTGTCAAATAAGTTTGTGGTGCTGCTGCGAGTTGTGCCTATAGATACAAAGCAGAGCCGGCAAAGCACTTGCTTTTGCTCAATATCAGTGTTACAGAATCCAAAATATTTCAAAATGTTTATAAATTTTGGTTGAGCAGTTTTGGTCGTAATGTTGAAATGCTGCCAGAGGCTCAGTGCAGACGGGGCTCGGTGCGGACATGGCCGGCTCCGGACACGGGGCTCGCTGCGGACACGGCCGGCTCCGGACACGGGGCCCGGGGCGGACACGGCCGGCTCCGGACACGGGGCTCGGGGCGGACACGGCCGGCTCCGGACACGGGGCCCGGGGCGGACACGGCCGGCTCCGGACACGGGGCTCGGTGCGGACACGGCTGGCCCTTCATGTGACCCACTCCTACGTCTGGCTTCCTGCCTTCGAGTAAATAGTGGCCCCCTGGGTACAGGATGGTCCCTTGGACTTAAAGTGAACCACTTGTGTACGTCTTTGTTTCAATCACTGCACTATATCCACCGGTTTCAGAATTACTATAGACTATAGAGGGACTAACTGGCTAAGTACGGTAATTATAACAGAACCAGGCAGAGACGGGTGGGTATGTGTTCCAGTCTTAGGTGTTCGATGTGTGAATTTGATAGCAGATCACTTTGTATAACTGGTACCTCTGGTGGCTAATTAAGGCTCTCAGAAGCAGGTTTGGTCATGTCAAGCTGGATGAGTTCCAGTTGATGGTAAGAGGAAGTTTCCCCCTTGAGTTGAGCCCCTCCCCCAAGGCCCTGATGTGATTGGAGAGACTCTCATCTAACTGAGGACTGGACCACCACCTCTGGTGGAGAAGGCAGGCTCCTCTTGGCATGCTACCACCATCATGTTTCAGGTGAAAGTGACGAGTGTGACATGGTCAGAAAGGGATGAACAGCATTCTGCCGGCGTCCTCATGATGTCTGGGCTCTTCCTGGCTCCTGTCCCAGTGCCTGCATCTCTTTCTGTGTCATGCTGTTTGTGAAAGCATTCGGTTCAATGGCCCGACATTGCTTCTCACATTCCTTTTGGTTTCCTGTCAGAGCCTGTCTGGCACTGGGTCTCGGTCGATGGGCATTGACAAGGTCAGGCCAGCTGCAGGGGTGGGGCATTTGGTCCCCCCCACCAGACTCTCACATGGTCTGTCTGATGACCTATCATGGTGCCATGGGTTCAGAGGTGCATGGAGGAGTGGGAAGTTTAGCGCCAGCAAACAGACCATGTACGCTGCTCATGGGAGTCCAAGCAACTAGAGCAGGCAGGACCAACCAATCAGATGTCTTCGTCCCACCTCCTCTAGTTGCTTGGACCCAGCTTCTCTACAATCTGATTGGTTATCTCTCTGATCCAATCATTTTTCGTTCTGCCCTCAGAACATTTTTTGTGTAAGTAAATGTTTCTGTGGTCTGATGTTTTTGGGGGGAGTTGATCTCATGGTTGATCTAATGACTTGCTTACATGGTTAATGGCAAAGACACCATTGCTCTCCTGTTCCAGCAAGTTGGGACCTGGATTTTTACTACCACAGCGTAGCAGTTCTATTAATCCTAAAAGTAGTACGAGCTTCTCCCTGCTGGTTACTTATGCTATTAGGGTCAAAGCGGAACCTACCAATATTTACAACAAGACGGGGGGAACAAATCAATGCAGATGATTAGCGTTCTTGGTGTCTCTCAGAAGTTGCGCCCCCCCGGGCTCATACAAGGGATTTTCCCCAATAAGAGGTTAGTGACATTAATGGCTCTTAGCTTTTATGTTTGAAACCTAGGGAATCCATACCTGACTAAGTTGATCAACTGCACTTTGAATAAAATGTGCATTTTATACTTTACGACAGATTGCAGAGGCTTCCACAGAACCACTGCAGAAAGTGCAAGGAATCATTTCAAAATGTTTTTTTCAGACAACAGCTCTGCAACTTCGTTTAAAAACTGAAAAATCTCAGTCTGACCAGTGTTACCCAGAAAGTACTGGTTATTGAATGGCCACAGGCTCTTTAATCTTTTTCTAATGTAAAATCATTTATATATTTTTTATTAAATTATACTTAATGTTATATAATTATTGTGTGGCCAAGATGTAATTTGTCCTGAGTGAAATGAATGCTTGTTCTGCATTTCGGGAAGCATTGTGTAAAAATACCATAATTTGAACTGACATTTATAGACCATTATAATCCTAATTTGACACTTTTTTATCTTTATGACAGCACTCTGGGGGCTGCCTAAGAAAAGCATTTGGCTGCTTTCATATTTGTTGGGGCGGGGGGGGAGGGCTTTCTTACACTTTCATTATACACATCTGATCGTAATGATATCGTACACCTTTCCGGGGGGGGGGGGGGGCTGGGCTATGTTATACTCTCATTGCTATTTTTTCTCAGAACTTCCCCCTTCCATTCCATACTTGATCGGTATATTTTGTTATAAAGAATTTCCTTCAGATACAGTTGACACAAATGGCTTTTTGATTCTGTACAATAATCATATTCTACACCTTTCCTCTTGCTCATACACACACGTATTTTAAATGATTGTGTACCATGTCATCTGCCGCTGCGCCCCCAAGAGACAGCGGTGGGAACTGCAGTGGGCGGCAATCTGTGTACTGTAAGTCACCACGGCTGGGAGGCTCATAAATCAGCCAGAGTGCGATGCCGTTCCCTGGGGATGCAGCTGCAGCGTGCCGTCATCCAGAGGGACGCCGGGCTGTCCTGACTTGCATGGCACTTCGCTTTTTCAGTGCTGGGAGGTAGAAGTCTGCAGCATTGTGCAAAGATTAATGGCTGGGGAGGAGCATGTGGCATTGCATGGCCCCTGGGGGGGCACACTGCCCGTGGGCCCCTCGGGCTCTGCAGCGCGGCGCCTGGGAGAGGAAGATGGCTCCTTTCATGTTTGACATAAAAGGTTTTGTTAGCTCTCTTGCCAAGCTTATTTTCTCATCCCTTTGAATTTCGCCCTTGCCCTTGTGGTGGTGCTGCTGGCGGGGGGGGGTCCATTTCATGTGGATTTATTCCCACGCCGCATCACGCAGATGACCAGTAGAGGTCGTTCTTCTCGTATTTCGTTACTAGCATGTTCAAGTATTCACAGGGCGGGGGGGGGGAGGAGAGTATTGTAAGATTGTCGGGCATTGCAGCTCCGCACACGCATTCATGAGAGCAGGTCTTCCTGGAAGAGCCCCCACCGGCATCTGACTGACCCCAGACTTTCCGTTCATCTGAGCATGCTCTAAATACATGAACCCTTCAAAGGCATTAGACTCTTAATTCATTCACACTTTTATAAGAAGTTATCTGGAGGAAACTGTCAAGCGAGGATTCCAGGAAGGAGCTGGAGTCTCCAATGGCAACCAGAGCAGTTTGTGTGGCAACCGAAAGATACTCCAGTGTATCTGTTGTAACATTCATCAGGGAAGGTTTAATATAGGGACGTGTGGAAAGACAGGATGCAGAGACCGCAGTGTGAGAGAGTTATGGTCACCCTCACAAATGTCCCGAGGCACAGATAGAGCAGGACATCAGGACATCAAACCACTAGAGGCCAGGATGCTGTATGGAGCAGCACAATGGAAACATGGAAACAGCATGTCTCACGCGGGTCACATGGTTTGGTATCGATCCTGCACACGTGTAAATACTTTCCACTGTCATAAGCACTGCCCCCCCCGGAGATGGTCACACCCTGTGGGTCCTGCCAGCCTGGGGTTGGAAAGGCACCCCTGTCTGTGTTGTGAGAGCCAGCGCGTGTGTTTATCTTACCAGGGCTGCGCATCAGCAGGCGTGAGCCCCGAGATCTGCGATGTGTGGGCGGTGAGCTAATGACCGTGAATGAATAAGCGCAGGTCAGGACTGGGGTCCTAATGTACAGTGGAGTTTTTCTACATCTTCCTATCAGGTGGATGGAGCCTAAGGTTTCGGGGGGGGGCATTCAGTCAACATGGCTGCTCCCCATCCAGTATCTCCTCAGCATTTATTTTGGTTCTTTCGTCCTCTTTCAGCCTTAAAACGATGCTGCAGAAGAAGCTGTCCAGCGGCACCGTGGACCTGTCCGGCATCGCACTGTCCAGTCAGGACATCCACCGGGTGACGTACTACCTCCAGAAGAACCGCGATGGCCTGGTCTTGGTGGACCTGAGCTTCACGGAGCTCCAGGACGATGGGCTACGGCCCCTGCTGCCCTTTCTGGGGGCACTGCCCAAGCTGTCCACGCTGGCGCTCAATGGCAACCGACTAACCGCCGCCGTGCTGAAGGACCTCACAGAAGTGGCCAAGGACCCCTCGCGCTTCCCCAGCCTGGCTTGGGTGGACCTGGGCAACAACGTGGACATCCTGACCATACCTCAGCCCCTCCTGGTCGCCCTCCGACGTCGTTTCGGCCTCAAGAGCAGCCTGCCCACCATCTATGAACATGGTGAGAGACGCCACCATGATTGGCAGGTAGGGTATGGCGAGGAAGAAGAAGAGGAGGAGAATGTCTCTGACATGTCTGAGGAAGCCCTTGAAGATAAACCAGAGTTATGGGAGGTCAGAGAAAATATGCCCCAGGACATGGAATTGCACTGCTGTGAGAGGTGAACCTGCCATCAGATCCTGCAATGAATTTGGGAACTTGATGTGTAGGGAACCCAGCTTGTCATGCCCTGACCCCAGCAGGACCTCTGACCTCCACTGTACACTGCCTGTCGTGCTCATTAGTCACAATGTCTCTGGCTGTGACTTCTGATGCAGAAGGTTTCCCTTCCATTGTCAAGGAGTGAACAGGGGACTTGGACACAAACCGTCCCTCCTATTGACTGCTAGTGGTGTCACATGGAGCCGGGTTGGAGGTGTGGATTATTAGCCTTCCACGGCATTGTCCTTTTATTCCCAGGGCTCAGGTGGCTGCACAGTCTGTGGCTTCATTAGGCCACGCCCCCACAAGCGCTCACTGGCCCATATGTGGCCAATGGTAGCTCACTTGCCGTAAAGGGGGAGGGACTTCTTTTACAAAAGGCAGCGTGCAGAGAAGCCATCTCTGGGAGCTTTAATCAGCAGTACTGCTTGGCTGGTTATTGTGGGGAAAAAAAAGAGTTTTTGTAATTACAGCATTCATGGTGTCAGTTTTGAGTGTGTGATGAATAACGGGGTTTGTATTTCGTCTGGACGTGTGGGTCTGCTCTGATCTGCGGTCTCTAGGCACCCACCACTGTAAACAAACAAATACTCTGAGCTTGATGTAGCATCTTGTATGGATCTGTAAGGGATTCACATTTTGTGCTGCTTCAAGAACGTTATTTTGTATTTTTTTTTGTTATTTGTCTGTATTTATGCAAAGGTTTTTGTAGGTGATATGAAGTGTTTTTGTGTTAGTGGTATTAATCTTTCGTATCTGAATCATCACCCGCTGTTCAGTGCAACAACGGATCAGTTGTTACTGTGGTAAATCTGCATCAGCACAGGGATATGTTAGGCTTGTGCGATACAGACTGTCTGCTTCACTTGCACCTGTGTCTGGTGGTCTGGCGGCAGTCTTGCTGCCAATGCATGTCGTAGCAGTGTCACCCTGGCGGGGCTTGTGCAGGTCCGACCTGCCAGCACTGCTAGTGTGAATAACGTTGGTCTCTTATATGGGGGAAAAGAAATAAAGAACATGGTGAAGTAATCGTTTCTTCTGGCTGGTGTTTTTTTGAGGAAGAACTGGGGTCCAGCGATACCCTGATCCCCCAACCTGAGGAATGGCCAATTCATCACGCAGACTCGCGGGACCGTCGGCAGAGCTCCAACATTCCTGCTCGTCGTTCTGTTCCAGCGCATACCTGCTTCCCATTTGAATCTCAAATCCCAATTTTAACTTAAACGCCAGCTTAGATGGGCAGGTCTGCAGTCCCTGCAGAAGCGGCTACCCTAGAGGCTCCGTGATGTCACTCATTGCTGATAGGTTTTCGTGTCTGGGCCTGGACGTACTCAGTCCCTGATTGTATATCTCCTTTAGCACCAATGAAGCTGTCACTTTGCCTGAGATGACAGCACTTCTGTGGAAAAATCTGGCTCTTATAATTAATGCCTGTTACTTAACCTTTAAATCAAACGATTTATCAGCCGTCAGACATTCAGTAAAAGCAGCAGTCACTTAAATAGAAAAATACTTGAACTGCAGTGGAAAATTAGTTTCCCTTTTGAGATCACAATGTGATGCTGTGGAGGGTTGGGGGCTGGTGCCCGTTACCCTACAGCTGCCCCCTAATCCACTAAAAACAAAACCACAGCGCCAGCCTTCCTCACCGCACACAAATATAGAATCAGCCTGTTGGGGCTGCAGACATGGCAGGATGGTAGGGGGCGCTGTGCCGTGCCGTGCCTTTAGGCTGGGCTCATCCATAAGGGCTGGCAGGGCTGTTTCTAGGGACCTAGACTAATTAGAGCTCCCCTCCCAGTGTAGCCGGGGTATGTGTTTTTAATCAATGCTATTGTTCATTTAGTTAACAGCTGACCTTTAGCGGGACGGCGTTTCTGCAGGCTGCTCTGCACTGGCTGCCGACGTTTGTGGTCCAAGTGAAGCAGCTCAGGAAACTTTTTGGGGAGATTGTTTTGTGACAGGTGGCTTGGCGATTATGAAATGGCGTGTATCCCAGTGTGTGTGTTTCTGTGAGTGTGTGTGTGTTTCTGTGAGTGTGTTTCTGTGAGTGTGTGTGTGTTTCTGTGAGTGTCTGTGTGTTTCTGTTTTTGTAATCATTACATTATGGGGACCAGATTTACCAGTCTGTGGATTTGCATAGATCACATTTGAGGACCAAATTGTCCCCAAAGTGTAGTAAAACCTGAAATTTCCCTACTTCTGGGGACATCTTTTGAGGTCCCCATTTGGATAAGTTTTATAAACATCTGTGAATGCAATCAAAAAAGTAAAAATGTCAAAAGTCTTGTATTTGGGTTGGTTACTTATAGTTAAGGTTAGGGATGGGTAGGGGTTAAGGGTGTCGTAATTGGGATTATGGTTTTTCCCATAGAAATGAATGGATGGTCCCCATTTAGATAGGAAGACCAACTTGTGTATGTGTGTGTGTGTGTATATATATATATATATAATATATATGTCTATGTGTGTGTGTGTCTGCAGGGTTACCAACATTGGTCAGCTGGCCGGAGTGAGATTTTCAATTTGAGACACGTGTTTACATGCATGCAACAGTTTTATTGGCTTGTAAATAGTCAGTAGGGTTGGCAAATTACCCCAGTGCTTTTGATGTAGCTAATTTTAATTGTAATGTAATAATATAAATTTGCCATAAAATTTCTTGTGTGAGAATGAAAGTCTGAAAGCAAGATTGATGCCAGATGTGCGAGAGTTGGCAACTCTGGTGCCTGTGTTTGTGTTCTCTGTGTGTGTGTGTGCGTGCGTGCGTGTGTGTGTGTGTGTGTGTGTTTGTGGGGGGGGGGGTGAGTAATTTCCGAGAAAGGCAGGTCATTGCCTGAAACACTATAAAGTTTAATCCAGTAAAAACCAGCAATGGATTACTGACAGATCCATGTGGAAACAACTAGGGTCTGGGGGCCATATAACCGCCCCCATGCTTTAGCTCTGTTGATTTCCCAGGGTTAGAATAAGATAAAGGGAAGTGGGGCCTGGGGTGGGGGGTTCTTAGAGAATATTGCACAAGACAGCGGCCATTAGCTGATGAAGCGCAGACTAAATGCTAAATTTCAGCTGTCCCACATCAGGGGCCTAAAGACAGTGTTCTGTGGGGAGCAGAGCCTGGAGGAGTGTCCACAAAGCACCCCAGTCAAGATGTGCCCCCTGCTCCAAACGGCCTGTTTGCAATGGAATACTGGTTGCAGATCTTTTCCCTGCAGGGAATAACTTTCATTTAATCTGGTGAAAAAAATAAGGGATTCATCACAATTCACAAAACACTGTAATGATCAGAGAAGCTGAACTCAGCTGCTCCATAGACTGATTGTACAGAATCAAAAAGCCATTTGTGTCAACTGTATCTGAAGGAAATTCTTTATAACAAAATATACCAATCAAGTATGGAATGGAAGGGGGAAGTTCTGAGAAAAAATAGCAAGTCCTAGGAACTAATGAGTTCATTTTTAAAATATCTGGGTGCAACCGCTACATTTTTGTGTGACACAGAGAGGATGAGTGTCTGACTTCTGGTTGTGTGATTCTGACTGTCAAACATGACTGAGTCATGGTCTAGATTCGCTCTGCACCTCACAAAGTTGGCAGTCATTACCAGACCCAAGACTCGCCTAGAAATTGTGCAAGAATTGACAGGTTAAGATGAACATTTGAGGACGCCTCAAACTAATGTCTTGGCCAGCCCAGTCTTCAGATGTCAATCCAACAGAACTTGTACTGGATGAACTTGACAGATGAGTCAAAGCAAAGCAACTCACAAGTACCCAATTCCTCTGGACATTGCTGCAGCATGGCTATGAACATATCTGGCAATGTGTTTTTCATTTCCTAGTATTTAAAAATGCATGATGTCAAACATCATTAACCTCGTTTCCCGTAAATGTACTCAAAAATTGCTTGGTTGATACCCACTTTCTCTTTTGACTGTGACCTTCCATTTGACTTCCCAAACATGCTCATTACTGCTTCTTGGTGCTCAACATCAGTACTGCAATAAGTTGCATTAAAATCGGTTTGGTAAAGATGGGCAGAGAAGAGTCTACCTAAAATGGTATAAACCATAATAAACTCTCTACATACCTCCACACGGTATTTTGTACATCTAGACATGGTAAAAATGCCCATGTTTAGGTGGCATAAAAATACGTTTAAAAAAACCAGTGTAGACATTCATTTTTATACTGTGTCAACACAGTACAAATGTACATGAAAAAAATATAGTTCGGAACTAAGATATACCTAGGGCAGGCTAATACTTTTCTATTCAAGGGAAAGGGGTTAGTCTGTAATTCATTATATTGGTTCCCATTAAATAATATTTTGGTTTTTAATCCCAATTAAATTCAAAACTCAAAATTTGTGAAAATTTCAACAAAAAGGTTCACTGTTTTGTCTGAGATGCTAAATTNTAATATTTTGGTTTTTAATCCCAATTAAATTCAAAACTCAAAATTTGTGAAAATTTCAACAAAAAGGTTCACTGTTTTGTCTGAGATGCTAAATTATGTGTCTGATTTGGACCAAGTGAAGTAAAAGTAGTCAGGGCCTGAGTGGGACTGAATTTCTGACAGACAGTCCAATATAAAACTAGCATTGGTGGGAAGGGTTCTACTAATCTGTTAATCGCTAATTAGCAATTAAGGCTAACTTTTTCGTTGGCAGATTAGCATTTCCACTAACTTTGAAAATCATTTGTGGACCAATTAGCTTCTACTATATTTTGTTCTGCAAACTGTAAATATGCTAACATTTTTTTTTTTCACATGTATAGTTGTCACGCCCAGCTCCGTCCAATCCTCGTGTGTGCCACGCCGACCTCATTACCTCGTGTTAATCCCTGATTGTGATCACCTGTGTCCTGTTATTTCTGGCTAGTCTGATGTATATGAGTCCGCGTCTTCCTCTGTTTCCCAGATCTGTCATGTGTATTGTTAGTGGAAGTTCGTGCCTGTCTGCCCTGTCGTCTCCAATAAACCCCGTTTACCCGTCCATCTGGCTGCTCTCGCCTGCTTTCCTGCTCGCCCGCTCCAGCAACGTGACAATAGTAAAGAAAGTTTAACAGTCAAAAACGTTTGTGAATCCTAAAATCAGGCTTATGTGTTCCGGTCTGTTGTGAGCGTGCCTGCAACAGTCTATCGGGCATACTGTTGGCTGACTATATCACTATCATAAGCACTACAGCCCAATATATCCCAAGAGTCACTGCACAGAGGTAAAGTGCATGTGTCCCGGCTAGGCAATAGGAGTGCCTCTTCGAAACTCAAGGGTTAGGTCGGGAACAGCTGGCCTTCGAAGAATGCAGCCTACAAAGGCTATACGTTCATAGACCATGGCCTTCCAAGGATGTGGCCCCTGGATTCAGATACAGCCCCTGAATTTGAACAAAGCCTGCATCTGTCTTGACGAGATGTCTGTGTCTGCATTCACGTAACATCTGCATCATGAAAAAGCATGTTGCCAGAACCTGCGTTTTCAGAATGTTCAAAATTAAAACTCTTGACCAATATCACGTAATATCATTTAAACTAATATTCAGAGTGCATCATCCTTTTAAAAGTACAGACACTCCTCTACTTACGAACTTTCAGACATACAAACAAAGAGGACTGTAAGTCCAAATTGTGTTCCTTGGGCTCCCGTTTCCTGTCCGCAACATCTTTTTTTTTTTCTGCACGCCAATTCTTCCAAGTATGATTTCTGGCCGCTACTCCCGCCGCGCAGCAGCTTAGCCTGCATACTCCCAGTATCCTACTTCTCTGTACTTGCGTATACTCCTAAAATTCTGTTGAATAACGACTTACGAACATTTCAAGTTACGAACGGCCGTTCTGAACGTATCTCATTCGTAAGTAGAGGAACGTCTGTATAGCTAACTTTAGACTTATTACGTCGACAGCGAATAAGCAGGAGGCTTCTTTGCAGGAAGAACCAGACTTTATTGAGTCCTTAACAGAACTACGCAGGCAATGTACACGGACCGGCACCAAACACAATAGCAGTAACACAAGGAAGTAAGA